AAAATAAGCTTTCAATGACAGTTATAGAACTACCCACACTAGATGTGGACTAGGTACACTTTATCTTAACCCTCTGCCAACTGAAAGTTATCCATATAGTTTCCCTTTTTTGGCCAAATGATTAAAAATATAATATATTTTATTCTTAAACATATCCTTATAAATCACATGGATTCTCTACTTCATTAGAATCAGGAAAAATCAAGCACAGGGAAAATATCCAGGAATTTATTTTCTAAGAACCAAAGAAATACTTAAGGCTAAAATACATGTAATTCTTAAAGGCATCAAATCATATGCCATTTTTAGATTATTTCCCTAGCTTTGGACTAAGGTCACTGCTTTCTAACAATTCCAGCTGATCAATTTTCCCATATCCTTATTCATAAAAACTAAGATGCAGACCCTTCCAAAAGGAGGTAAAAATTAACCAATTGCATGGTTAGTTGTTTTAAAGAATTATCTTTTAAAAAATCTTTATTGTTTTAGGTCATATGAAAATGTTTTTTCTTCACATTTCCTCGGTGTCATCACCAAAGTTAGCAGAAGAAAGGTTTCAATTAGTAAGGGAAAACAAACTTATTTCAATATGGGCAAGAAAAATGATATCAATATAGGATACAAACTTCTGGCACTTTACTTCATGCGTTTTTTGGAGTTCTACCTATCAGCAACTCGACATCAAAATCTATCCCTACTAGCAAAAGGTTTATTGAAGTCCCAAGTTTTGCCCTGCTCCCCTATCTTTTTAATGCAGTTATGTGTATATATCGTGATGCTGACAATCACCTCTATGCCAATTCTGTCACTTATTTGAGCATAAAACTGCATTGTGAGGAAAAACCAATGTAGTGCTGGACTCTCTGAACACCTAACACATGTCAAGTTACTGACTAAAATGTAAAGAGTGTGTGTGTGTGTGTGTGTGTGTGTAAAACAACAGACTCTTGGCTCTTCCTTTTCCCTCTCTAGATCACCTAAATCTTACTGCTTTGTAACAGAAAATGGTATAGCATGTGGGCAAGAGGCCCAATAGGCCATCATACTAACCTGCCTTACTACAAATGAAAAGACCCAGTGTCACAGTACTCATGTTCTAAACCTTGAAAGAGTCAGTTTGGGTTCAATTTACCTATTGAACCCTATCAGCAGACTGCTCAGAATGAACAGCATCTAGGGGCAGACAGCCAAAATTCTCCTGTTCTCTGGCAGAACCAAAAAAAAATTTTACTAGTAGAAGTGTATACTATGATTTAATGCAAAATATTTTCATAACTTATAGGTACAGAAATACCTGCTGGGCAAGAAGTTTTTTTCTTGTTGCACCAATTAAATGTTATTGCCAATTAATTCATTATGTGGCTTCGTGATTTATCCAATATAACATGTCATCAGTTATCTGATTTCAATATTCAATTTTTATTTTGGATAAATTACCTGTAAGGATATTCAGAACAGTGAAATATTTAGGAATGACCTAATATACAATGCATGGTAATCTCACAAACATTTTCATCTCCAGTGATAAGCAAATTTAAATAAATTTTGTCTACCCTCCTAAGCAGTTACAATGGTAAAGCCGTAATCTGTCTTCTAATTTCAGTATGACAAACAGGGTATTAATCCTAGTGATATGGAATTGTTTCTGGGAACTGCTGCAGATAGATATCTGTCCTCTTATACTAGCTTAGGCAGTGATAAGCAAAGACTGGATATGGTGAGAAGAACAGGTGAAGGGTGTATAAGTAAATTTAATCAAAGCCAGCTAAATTCCATTTTCCTCTTCAGGGTGGAAATATTTACTAGGGAAGGGCAGAGGTCAGTCCCCTTTATCACAAACACTGAAGTTAAGTCCACTCCAAGTGTGGTATCTAAAAATATTAGAAGAGGTTTAGAGAGCTCAGAGTGAAGGAAAAGGAGACATCATTCTCACTTGAGCAAGGGACATCAGTTTAAGAAACAAGGTAGAAGACTACTATTCCCTCCTATGTCATCCTAGAAGGCTTAAGGCTAAAATACACCACCATATACACAACTAGCCCCCAAGAGTTGGTCTTTGTTCTTAGTAGGGAGACATATAAAAGGGTTGTCCTCAGTAAGGAAGAAGGAAAAGTGTCTCCCTATCTCTTGCTGCTCATCCGGATTTCTTTGCCGTTGCTGACAGGGGTTGGAGGAGGGGCTTGGAGTGCCAGCAAAAGCAGATTGTGGCTAAGCTGACTTGCAGTGATTCATGCCTGGTGGGGTGAAGGGGGACATGGGGTGAATGGGGATCACTGCCTGGGCCAGGGTTGGGAGTGGGGTGGTTAGGCCATTCCCATTCTGACTCTCAGAGGGTGGAGAGGCTGCAGGAAGGCCAGCTGGAGGCTGGGAAGTGGAAGAGGTGCTGTCGCTCTGTATCATCTTGCTGGGGAGCTGCTGGGCACTCTACTCAGGGTCTGGCTTGCTGAAGTTGGGGCCCTCAGAATAAACCATACAGAATTCTCCAATCTTCTGTACATCGCCCCTATGGCCAGTGTAGAGGGTCAGAAATCCTTTAAAACTGAAGTATACCCCTTGGTGAGTCGGATAATGTCCCCAGGATGGATCAGGTTGTCAATATCATCCCAAACAGATATATTGATGCTACCTGTTTTGTCTGCTACTTTGCAGATCCTCACCTCATGTCTTTTGTCTTGGTCACTCGGCCTGTCTCTAGCACAATGAAGATGAGATTCAGGTTCTTAAGTCCTGGGCTTGATATCTTTCACAAAGGTCTCCATCGCCATGCTGCCCAGGCCTCCACACCCTGAGGGAGAGCCAGGGTTGTCTCCCAGATTAATTCTTGTGGGCTGTTGATGTCTGGGAACTGGTGGATTTTGCAGCTGCAAAGGCTGTAAGAGTTGCCAAATTTCTCTTTTACTATGCAAATTCACAATATAATTTTTTAAAAACCCTTTCCAGGGGAGGAAGAGGGATAAGAGAATTTCTGATTGCAACACAGGCTCCAATTACATCAAGTAGACACTTTCCCAAAAGGACTTTGGCTTATATTAAAAGATGACATAATGTTTAATAGTTATATCATGACTGTGGATTTTTAAAAAATTCCTTAGAATTAAAAAAGATTTTTTAAATATTTAAGAATTTTAAAAATTCCTTAGAGGCTAATTTTAAATTAAGGGAAGATTAACAGAGAGAAGAAACAGAATTTTTCTAGATTAAGAAATGAAAGTCATCATTAGCAGAAAACTTTCTTAGACTAACTACAGTCAACTAGGTCTGTTATCTGCCTAGACTCAAACTGGTTACCTCTCTCTGTTCTTCTGCTATGCTATTGTTGTCATACTACAACACAAAATCTGAGATGAGAAGAACTCCCTAATACCTCTTAAGAAAAGTAGAAGCGGAAAGGGTAGGAAAAATAGCTATAAGTGTAACAAGTAAATAAATTATTTTCCTCAAAGCAAATGGCAACAAGGAAGATTCTTTAGACGTATATGATCCTTGATAACTATTTCCTTAGCAATGAAGTACTACATTTTAATTCTAAGAAGGTTGCTAACCTGTAAGGGCTGTAGAATCATGGAATTTTGAAGTTGGGAGAGACTTCAGAGATCATGTAATCTGAACCCTACCTAAAGCATAAAAGAGCTCTACAATAGTCTCCAATAAGTCATCACCCAGTCATTCAAACCTAGTTGCTTCCTGTATCTGAAACATGGGTTAAGGAACTCAAAAAGATAAAATAGTTATCCTTACTATAAAGAAGAAGGAAGAATCAGCTGATTTCTACCCTTGGATTTTATAAGGTCAGGTAGAAAAATGACAACCATTGTCAAAAGTGTTCTCTTGTTTACAGCTTTAGTAACTATGGGGAACTGTCCAGAACTGAAATTATTCAGGCAGTATATATGCCATAACTACTGTCTTATTCATAAAGTTGGAAGGGACCTCAGAATCCATCTAGCCCAACTCACAACTGACCAAAAATCTCCTCTACAAGAATCCATACATGAGTATAGTCTTTGCTTAAAATTTCTACTAAGGAGAAACCTACTATGTCCGGAGGCAACCCATGTCACTGATTATAAGGAAGTTTTTCTTATACTACATTTAAATATGCCACTCTGCAAGTTCACTTACAGCTCCTATTTCTACATTTTTCCTTCAGTTGTCACCATTGTCTTCACGAGATATAACACCTATTACTCCTAGATATTCCTTTATTCTTCTGCTATAAAATCTTGCTAAGAGAGAGGTTTAACAGGATTATAGATCTAGAGCTTGAAGAGGCCTCCAAAGCCATTTAATCCTTTTTCTTTATTTTACAGATGAGGAATCTGAGGTTCAGGGAGATTAAGTGACTTGCCCCAAGTTACACAGGTAGTACCAGGCACCAGAGATAGGATTTGAATCCAATTCCTCAGCCTCCAAAGCCATCTTTGATAACCAGTCAATGCCTGATCCTCCTCCTGAGCTAGCTGGTTTAAAAATGTGGGTGCTGCTATAGTTTTCTGGACTCATTAGGTCTGTGTCTATTCTGAATGCTCAGAGAATCCTTGAGGAAAACAGAATATTAACTACTATAAATACAATATCCTCTGTTGCTCAAGAGCTAATCACAAGTGTTCCTTTATTATTTTTAAGGCAATAAGGAAGAAAAATATATCAGGCATGCACTTCAACTTCTGATGTCCCTCAATGAAACAATGATCATAGGACCACAGCATTTAGAACCAAAAGAAATCTTTAAGTTAATCTAATCCAGTGGTTCTTAGCTTTTCTTGTGTCAAAGATGCCTTTTAGGATCTGGTAAAACCTAGAAATCCCTTCTTAGAATGTATTTTAAAGGCATAGAATGAAATACAAAGAATTTCAAAGGAACTAATTATGTTGAAATACATCTGTACACACACACACACACACAAACACACACAAAACACAGTCCCCAGGTTAAAAACCTTCTAATCTAATCCAAACTCTTTATTTTCTAGATAAGGAAATTGAGTCCCAGAAATGTGAAGTAATTTGCCCAAGGTATCTCACACACAGGTAAGTAGAAAACCTGGAATTCAAATCTAGGTTCTCTGTTCTACTGAACTAGGCTGGCAGAGATTTTATAAGGACTTATTACAGGGCTTTATAAAGAAGAAAATACTATCATGGTACTTTCTGAGCACTTCATCAATACTTTGAAGGCACAAAATAAAGGAATGATAAGGTAAGTTTACCTGAACACTTGCTAGAAAACAATAGAGAAGCTCAAGCATTATGAAATACATTTTCAACAGAAATGAAGAAAATTATTGAATACAAAAAGGAGCAGGACTAAAGAGTATGCCCTTCTTAATGCGACATTTTCAAACAGGACAGAAATTCTGGTAGAAAAAAAGATGGAGAAAAGTAATCAAATCGATAGAGCACAGCAGTGGCTCCCAACTGGGCAGGCTTACAGACCCTATGAAGTTATCACGATGGTTCCTTGTATCCATATGTACATCAACATTGTCATTATGATTTAATCCCTACAAAACATACATGATGCAGTAATGAATAAGCAAACATACATTCCATAAACTGAATGTTTCAAATATATATGTATATATACATATATGCACATACATACATATATAAAACTAATTGATTTCTTAGCCACTTAGTACCAGCAGTGAAGTACACATAGCCCAAACCTAATTTGCAAGTTTGAGTTAATATTTAAGGGATTCTCTTGAAAGTAAGAGTTATTTTGGGAGATGAACTCTTGAATGATCACATACATTGAGAACAGATGAGGTCAACCATCTGCGACATACTGGACCTTTCAGCTACTTCACAAGTCATCACTAACAGGTAGCTATGTAAATAATTAGAAGATGCCTTTTGCCACCTGGTCTCAAACTTCCTACATCATTTTCCATATCATTCTACTCAGCACTGTCGCTAAATCTTTATATAAATACTAAAGAGTAAGTATGCTGATACATTACTGTATGTATATCTTCTGGTCTACAGATGTACCCTGTAGGTCAGTAATATTCAATCAAAAAAATGTTAATGCTCCTATTACAAATTTGATGTCTATTAAAAACACATCTAATATTACTACCTAAAACACTGCAAGCATAGAAAAGGAGATAATTAAATGTTAAATGACTCTCATTCTCTGCTGACTGTTGTACCATCAGCTGCACCTAAAAATGTAATACCATCAATCTACCATTATAGTATTGTCTAGTGCTTCTTGGTCATTGACTAAAGGGACTTTTTAAACCTACAACAACAATGTTTACAACAGATACTGGTCAGAGTGGGAGTTCAACCCAAAATGTAAATGTCACTTTTCTTCTTTCATTTAAAGTACATAATTATTTCTTTTTTAATTTATTTTGTCTATGTTTTTATAATAGGGCAATGGGACCCCAACACTACTTGTCATCCATGAATTAATTTTTAGTGAAGAGTTGCTTTGCATAATTCAAGCAAGGTTCCTGACACCAGGGAAATGACATTAGAAAACTTGGAAATCTTCAATATGGGGATTTTCAAGACTTGGGCAAGAGGAACAAAAAGAAGTGTGCACAAAGACCTTGACTTAGCATCACAGGATAGAGGGATCTTAGCAAACAGCTAGTCCAATTGTCTCTCTCTCTCTTTTTTAAACAGATAAGTGCTGCAAGATTCAGAAACGTTAAATGACTTGCCCAAGATGATACAAGTAATAAGCAGCAAACCTAGGGCAGCTCTGATCTCCCTTATTATAAATGATCTCCTCTTCATCTGATCCCACTTTATCCTCCTTCTTGTGCACCTGTCACTTATATTCTAAAGTGAAATACATTTATCTGTATACACATCTTCTTACTCCTACTAGATTTTATCCTAAGAGATAAAGCAAGGATCAAGGCTTACTTATAGCAAGAAGCTAGAATTGTGCTGCTAGCTAGCCTACAACCCAGCTGCAGTTTGCTACACAGTGGAAAGAAATACTCACTAGATAAAATAAGGTACATTATGCTTAACTCAGCATAGAAAACTGGAATTTTTCACAATATACCCAAAAAACATAAAAGATCAATTTCTAAGCCTTATGAATAATAAAGGTAATTGGTCTAAAGAACATTCTAAATATTGATATAGAACTATCTCTTTAAAAAAGTTCAAATTGTGTTAGTTACTCTAAATTACGTTTATAAATTCCTGACATTTTAAAATAGAGAGAAAGGGAGAGAAAGGATGAAAATAAGCATTTATAGAACTCCCACCAAGTGCCAGGCACTGTGCTAAGCACTTTTACAAATGCTATCTCATTTGATCTTCAACAGCTCTTCCCTAGTAGGAGCCATTATGATTACTATTTTACAGTCAAGGAAACTCGAAGCAAAGAGGTTATGTCAATCAATTAATCAATAAACATTTATTAAACACCTACTATCTCCCAGGTTAAATGACCTGCCCAGGGTCACAGAGCTAGTAATGCCTGGGGACAGATATGAACTCAGGTCTTTCTGACTCCAGGCCCAATGCTCTATTCACTGCACTACCAACTACCAAAGTAGGTAGCCAAAAGGTCAAAATCAAAAGCAAGACATTTTTCAATCTGTCATTATTCTTCTTGAACCACAATTCAAGTCTTCTCTTGTAGGGAAAAGAAGTGCAGATGTTAGAATTAAAGTGAATTTTAACCAAAACTGATTCTTCCTGATCACACTAAGATCAATTAAAAAGACATTTGGTTTAGTCAGAGAAATGGGAAGAAGAGTTAAATATAAACACTACAATGAATTTTAAAAATACAACTTATAACAAAGTCTTCATGTAAATGTAACCAAAAACTATGCAAAAGAAAGGGTATAACTACATTTAGTTATTAAACTTCTGCTTTACAGGAATAGTGTCATTTCACAGTTCCAAATACACTTGTTACACAAGGGACTAGAAACATACACATAAAAATTTATAATAATAAAAGTAACTATTAAAATGTTTAATAGTGGAGTGTCAGCTAATCAGTGACAACAGATACTGGGAAGCAACAATACGGCATAGCACTACATTAAGCTTTTAGGAGACTGGGAGAAGTATGTATGTCATTTCTGTGGGATATCATTGAGCTCCCTTTAACAATGCAGAAACTGGACTAATTTAAAGAAATGGTCATCTTTCAGTTATTCAGGTAATGTAGGAAAAACAGACATACAGAGATGAAGCTAAACTAAGCTAAACTGAAAAATATGCAAATTAGAACCAATTCATTAAATTTCAGAGATCATAGATTAGAGATGGAAGGTGCCAAGCAAGGGGCTAAGTCCAATCCCCATCTCTCATTTTGCAGATGAAGAAACCAAAGCTCAGAAAGGGAAAGCAATTTGCTATAGGTCACTTAGATAGTAAGAGGAAGAGCCAGACTTTGAACCCAGGAACCTTGACTCTAAATCCAGCACCCCTTAACTTTACATGGAGAAGTCAACATTTTGGTAAACAATTTCTACCACAGAGTAGAAAAATCACAGCAACAGTTATCATATTGTAAGAGCATACGTGGTTAACACTATACCAGCTCTGCAAATATAATAACCAATTAAAAGCTTACTTATTCAAAAGTCTATGGCTTTTAAGCATTATGTGTGTGTGTGTGTATATATATATATATATATATATATATATATATATATATATATTTGTGTGTGTGTGTATATTTTGCATTTGTTTGCATTTGCATTTAAGGAAATGGACAAAGTTAACAAAGGAGAAATAAGAAGCCTGTGTAATCTACTCTTCCAAAATTTAGAGTTGATTGATTTCCAGGTGATATCTTCAGATCAATTTATAGGCAACCTAATTAAAACTAATAATTAATAATTCTGTTCTTGCTCCCTGGCCTTTCAAAATCAAGCCTAAAATTTGAAACTGATTGTATACTAGTTCCTTGCTAAATGGTGATCTCTAATAACAATGGATGGTATATACTTATTAAGGTCTAAAAAGCAGATCCAAAGTGAAAATTTTTTCAATAGCCCCAAACTAATATCACTTCGCTGAAAATCTCTGACTAAACCAAATGTCTTTTTAACTGATCTTAGTGTGATCAGGAAGAATCAGTTTTGGTTAAAATTTACTTTAATTCTAACATCTGCACACTAACAGGGCACTCAAACTATAATAGGTCATTATACTCAAGTGAGTCTCATTTTACAAAATAGATTTGTTCTTGAAAAGTCCAGTGACCTTGGACAAATCACTAAACCTCAGTCTTAGTTTCCTTGTATCTAACTGAAATAATATCCTATCTATCTAACAAGAGTATTGTAAAGACAAAATGAGATAATTAATGTTAAAATATTTTGTAAGCTGTAAAAGGCTATATAAAATGATGCAGTATTATTATTATATGAATTTTTACAAACTGATTTAAATGAATTACATAACTACATTATTTAAGGCAAGCAGTCTTAACCTGGGATACATGATTTTTTAAAAAAGATAATTATTTCAACATAATTAGTTTCCTTTGTAATCCTATGTATTGTATTTCGTGTATTTAAAACCATTCTGAGAAGGTTCCATAGGATTCGAAGGGGTCTATGGCATTAAAAAAATAAGGAGTTACATTATTTTGTAAAAGGTAAACTACTACTATAATTTAATTCTCAAATCTATGTCCTTCCCAAATTTATTTTTTGTATACTACATTTTCTGAATAGAACACAAATGTATTTAATTCTGTACTTCACCAGTTCTCTTATATTTAAATTTTTTTAAAAAGCAGCAAACCCAGAAGCCTGTTCATTCACAAATAAGATATGGTTGCCAAGTCAATTTACTTCCTTCTACATAGGGAAAACTCTTGAAATGTTTAAAAAAAAAAGTTTAAAAAAGGTATGAAACAATATTTTAAATAGTCTACTCTTCCTGGGCACTCACTACACATCTTTCAGACTTATCAGCAACAGGCAAGCCTAAGAATGAATATACTTATAGGTGATATCAGGGGATTAAATGAAGTAGAATAGGCAAAAATTTTAGTAGAGGTAGCCAATTTGACTAAATCACATATATCTTGATAGCACCTGACAGTTCTTGGAAAATTTTTCATCTTAAGGCAGAAGGTTTTTGTAGAATCCACATGTTAAAGGACAAGGACAAATTTTGGCCTAAGCATCTTTCTTTGATTTAAAAAAAAAAAAGCACTGATTCTCACAGAAGGATGGGTAGGCATGATAGTTAAAATTTAGGCAAAATGGTGATTTGTCTACTGAATCACAAAAATTATTCCAGGTATTGTAATAATTATTTTTAATTAATCCAAAAATCATCCTTAAGAATTATTCATTTTGATTAGTAAGGAGAAACCCCAAGCCATTATCTTTAAACATGTTCTTAAATAAGCAAATAATGTTGATCCATTAAAGACAAGTTTTTTAGGTCATACATTCACCTGATTCATCTTGTGGCAAGCTAGAAGTACACATCTGTTTCATGGACATAAAGCCAACTCTCAAGAGGCAAATTTTTGGAGAATGCCCAAAAACATGGGACTTGAGAATGAGTTTTGCAGTGCATCAGATTAACTGACTAGAAGTGTGAATGCAGCATCTGGCTCAATAGTGAATGATTTTATAAATTCAAAGCTTGAGTAAAGTGTCAAAGCCAAGAACTGCTAACATAGTATGAACTGTGACATTATCTCTTCTTTTCTGAAAATAGCCTTTACTGTAACTTAATCATGCACTGTTTTAAGACACCTTGTGAATTCATTGACTTGTATTGTTACTCATCTTTTTCATGTATGTCTTATCTTCCCAAATAGATTGTAAAACTTACTCTAGGGAGGAATTCAGTTTAACTGAAAGAACACAGGAAAGACTACTACCTCAGGAGGCTTTCATAAGGATCAAATGAGACAATAAATCTGAAGATACTTTGAAAGAAGTAAATAAAATTTTAGACTTATCGAAGGAGGTATTTATTTTTATTAGATTACAAGTGCACAGCCCTAGTGCTGTATACCATACACACTAACAGTGTATACACTATTACACAAAAGATACAAACCTAGAGGAAGACTGGGTTCAGAAAGGTGGGGAGCTCATCTGTGGTGACCTGTCCTTCTATGAGGTCATGGACAAGAACTGCACAGGATAAGAAGGCATGACTATGCAGCAATCTTCACTGCTTAAGAAAGCATCCCTTATCAAGGAGACCATGGAGTCATTTAAGTATCCAAGTATATTTCTTTGCATCACCCAGAGAAACTTGTGTCTTAAATATATACAGAGTACTCAGTCAATAAATGGATGTGAATAAATGGGCTTGCAAAGAACAAGAGCGGTTTCAAGATCAGGCCACCCAAAAACAGTAATTTTCATCTTTTTGGCAAGTAAGTATTTTTCAGAAGTAAATAATCAAGTCAAATCTTGTTAAACTGTGAAATATCTACACACCAAGATTATGATAATAATCTGTAACATTAAACAGGTGTTATGTAAGTTATAAATATGAAGAATGTAAAGAAATATGGAAAAATCTATTTGAAATAATGCAAAGCAAGATTGCCAGAACTACAATTAGTGACTACAATGTTATAAAAAGACAAAGACAAAGCTAGTGGAACTTCAGATGGAACTGGAAAAGGGCATAAGCAGGACATTTTTGCTGGTTTATTGTATTAATTCATTTGGTTCTAATTTATGAAATTCTAGGAGTTTTACATAAGATGCTTGTGTGTTTATTCAATTATTTGTGTTGGTAGCAATTAAGTTTATAATTTTCAAAAGATTAATAGATAAGAACTATGCAGCAATAGCCAGCTATTTACATCAGATCAAAATTCGATCAGTCCTTAAAATACAATATTAGACTACTTGGAAAAAACTAAAAATTATTATTAGCTACATCCAAATGGGATCAATATTTGTCTTTATTTGGTATGAGATAAATATTATCAAGTAGATAGATTCACCTTACCTGACTAGGGTGTGGATTTTATGTTGGCTGGAAAACTAATCTCTCTAAGGCTTGCAATTTACAGTAATTTGACATGGATGGATACTATATTCATTCAATTTTGTTTCTGCCCTACACAAATTTCTTTTCTTGTTAGGCAGTGGGGCTAAGTGACTTGCCCAGGGTCACACAGCTAGTAAGTGTCAAGTGTCTGAGGCTGGATTTGAACTCAGGTCCTCCTGACTCCAGGTCCAGTGTACTATCCAATGCACCACCTAGCTGCCCCTCACAAATTTCTTTTTCATCAGAAGTTATCGGTCAAGTACTCTAATCCACGCAAGGAGTCCTTCATTTCCCACATTTTGGTTGCAAGTCATTTGCTTGCATCAAAATTTAAAACCAAATTTGCAGAATCTATCGCTCCCCTTAAAAGGTCTTTACAAGGAGATTAATTTATTTCTCAATGGATTTTCAGGTGGTACAATTCAACATGTTTTTTAAATTTACAAATGAATACTGTCCTAACAGTAAAGCACAAGTTTATCAAAGTTCTCCATCTAGTCTTTTGTTAGTAAAGTCTGGGTTGCTTCGCAGTTGTTTCAAACAAAGGAATTAACAGAGGCAGTATACCTACACTTGCCCAATTTAGGAATAGTTTCAAGTATATTACTTTGATACTTAAAGAATTTGTTTTCCTTAGGTGTAATTCCCTCCCTCCCCAGAGTTCCCAAACCCTCTATTTAGTAGAGGGTCTTCAAGAGTTGATATGACTGAAAAAATTTATCATCCTGTAACTAAAAAAGTGATGAATCTGAGCTAGTTCTAGGACAATAGACATACAGTCTGTCAAGCACCCCACATTCCAAAGCCTGACCAACTTGGCAGAAGCTACAAGAACTTGTGTTATACTAGCCTAACCTTCGAGACCCTAGAACCACCTCCACACAGCACTGAAGACATCAGAACAGAACTTCAAAGGAATGAGTAGTTTTGTGTTGGTAGAACTAACAGACACAACAGTCTAATTTTTTTAAAATAACCTCCTATATATGAGGAGTTTCAGAGGACCCCTAGGCCATTCTCATTTGTATGGATACGTATGTCTTCTTAAAACAAATTAGTTAAGACTGTGGAATTTCCTTTACTAGTTCATCTCTCTCAGACTGTGACAGTGGAGCAAACTGATCGAATGATATTTGGATATTTCAGGGGTTAGATTTAGAGTGGAATTGTTCGTGTTCAGTAGATTCGATGATGGCACAGCATGCTCAACAATTTTCCATCAGTCTTGGAATTCCCCTACAAAAGAATTCAGATGGGTCAGATTTTAGGGTCTGGGTGTACCCCTAAGGGGGAACCTAAACTGGAGAATGGTACACTGCACACCACTGACAGTGATTAATTAATTCTATTAAATGTATTAAGAATAGGGATCTCCCCAAATTTCTAACTTCAATGACCTTGACCATTAACTGACTGAATCAAATACTGATAAAGGTTTATTACTTGTTCATTTGATTTACTAACAGTAGCTCAAATTTCTTTCAAAACAATAAGAATAATAATGTGTCTTCCTCCTTAAATTTTCCTGCTAAATCTTTGATCATTCCTTTGCTTCCCCTCCCCCACTTCACACCCCTCTACTTATTTGGGCTCCGACGCGGCAGATAAAGTAAAATGTAAATTGCTTGAGGGCTGAGGAGGGATTATGTTGCTTTTAATCTTTGTATTCTCAGCAGCCAGCACAGTGCCCAGAACATAGTAAATGCTTTACTGAACAGAAGTAAAAGACTTTTGGAAAAAAGTCAAAGACACTACAAATAATCAACTTAGAATAAGAGAAGTAACTGGCAGAGTTCCAGAACAGTATTTGATAAGATTTGAAATGCCTTTGGTTTTAGTCATGGCCAAAATTTTCTAAATTATACTTTTCTAAATCCATCAGATAGGCTTTAAAACGATCCCAATCCAAAAAGAATTTTCACTGTCTTTAAAACCATAAACAAATAATACACACCAGAGAAAAACGGCCTCAGCCACAAATGTTAAGAGTTTTATTGAACCTGGGGTTGAAGTAGGTACACTATCCCTAAATTAACAGAAAGCTCTTCATTTGGGGAAGCTTGGGAAAATGGATCCTCATCTGAATCTTAACTCTGGTGGGCACTATAGGTTTGTAATCACAAACTGATTCAACTAAAATACAACTCAATATCAAGAAAACTGGAGCCCACAGGTTTAAAAACCGCAAATTAGTAAAGAACCCTTCCCAAATGTGAAACTTCTGGTCGAGATTAAAAGTACCTAAATATTAAAATGCCTATGGCATTTTAGAGAAATTCAAGACTCATGAGGCTTTTTGCCTGTTACTACAAATATAGCTCAGTATCTACCTAGAGGAAAAGGATGGCTTTCATTTAAGTGGCCTGATCAGAAATTTTAGAAAGTCTCAAGCCAAGGGAACAACAGTCTCACTCCACATTCCTTCCAAATTCCAAGTCTGGGTGTCTTTGTGCCCACTAACTTGCCACAGTAACAATACAAGATTGGGCTGCCAGCAGCTCTTTCCAAGGCATCTGGAATCCTACTAGCCCCGCTGGCAGCTCAAGTTGGAGGTACTGCAACTGACACAAAGGCCAGTAGTCCTAGAGAGCTCTTTTTGTGAGTGTGGCTCCGCCACTCACTGGGAAACCCAGAATGGGAGCTCATCTCCCCCCTCCTCTCCCTTTCCCCAACCCCGCCTCCGACCCTGGGAGCCCCTCAGTATGGAACAAAGCGAGGGGCCCCGGTGCTGGGGGGAGAGAGGCGCCTGCAGCGCGAGGACCGCCGCTCAGCACACAATGAAAAACCAACTTCGGAGAGCTGGAGCATCCAAACTGGCAAGAAAGAGGGGGGCGGCGGCGGTAGGGGCGTTTAAGTTCACACCTAGAAGGCCTGAAGGCCCCCTGAAAAAGTCCCCTCCCCAGGGGGAGAAGAGAAAGGCGGAGGGGATACGAACCGCCCCCCGGCCCCGGAGGGAAGCTCCGCGGACAGCCCAGCCCCAGCCCCCGCCCCCGAGGCCGGCTTCCCCGCCTTCTCTCAGTGTATGTGGTTCGCTGCCCCGGGCCGGGCGGCCGGTTACCTTGATGCGCTCCCGGCACTGGGACGGGGTCCGCTCGTAGCCCAGCTCGGCCAGGGCCCGGGACACGCGCTCGTACATGGCTGGCCCGGGGGCCTTGCTGCCGAACACCGTGCCGGCTCCCTCCAGCTGCTGGTACCGCGCCTCCACCAGCCGCTCGTTGCCCCACACAGCTATCAACGCGTTGGTCTCGGCCGGGGTCCACGACATGCCCCGGCAGGCAGCGGCGGCAGCTGCTGCGGCCCCGCCGCCGCCGCCGCCGCCGGGGGAAAAGGAGACGGAGGACGAGGCGGCGCTGCGGGCCCCCAGCCCCAGTCCCCCGGCCCCAGCCGCCGCCGTCGCTGCCCCCGAGCCAGCCGCGCTGCCGGGCCCGAGCGGGGAGGCGCCGCTAGGCGTGGAAGGGTCGGACAGGGATGGGTTCCCATCGCTCAGGCCGCCCGGAGAGGCCGGGGACAGCACCTCCATCTTCGGGATCTTCAGGGGCGAGTCGGTGGGCAGCTCCGAGCCACAGGGCGCAGCCATCTTCCGAGCGGCCGCTGCTGCACCGCCCGGAAGTGACGTGCCCCCACATCCGGCGGCCGCGGTTTCGGGAGCTACCCGCTGTTCTCTTTGGAGCCCGCGGGTGGCCGGGTTGGTTGGTTTTGTTCGCGCGCCTACTGCAGGGACTGGGGCGGGGGGCGGGGGGCGGGGGGCGGGGAGCGGACACACCTTCCTGTAGCTCGACCTGCCTCGTGAACTCGTTTCCCTGGCGGGTGGGCGGAGGGAGACGGGAAGAACGGTGACCGGGTCGTAGCCTAGAGAGGGGCGGTGGACGAAGTCATTGGGGGGAACAGGGTTCTCGGCGTCCCTCACTCCTTAAACACTAAGGGCGTCAGCCCTGGGCAAGAGGAGGG